GAGGAGAGGTGTTGGGGGGAGGGGGGGGGGGAGGGGCTGCGCCTTGGATGTGGTGTGCAGCCCTCCCCTCACCCCTCTATTTATAGGGGAAGGGGGAAGGGGGCCGCCCCCCTCTAGATGAGATCTAGAGGGGGGCGGCCAAGGGGAGGGGGCTTGCCCCCCAAGCAAGGGGGGCGCCCCCTCTAGGGTTCCCCCCCAAACCCTAGGCGCATGGGCCCAAGGGGGAGGGTGCACCCAGCACTCCAGGGGCTGGTTCCCTGCCCACTACGGCCCATGAGGCCCTCCGAGAGAGGTGGCCCCTCCCGGTGGACCCCCGGAACCCCTCCGGTGGCCCCGGTACAATACCGATATGCCCCTGAACTTTTCTGGTGATCGTATGACAACTTCCCACATATAGATCTTCACCTCCGGACCATTCTGGAACTCCTCGTGACATCCGGGATCTCATCCGGGACTCCGAACAACATTCGGTAATCACTTACAAGTCTTCCTAATAACCCTAGCGTCACCGAACCTTAAGTGTGTAGACCCTACGGGTTCGGGAATCACGCAGACATGACCGAGACAGCTCTCCGGCCAATAACCAACAGCGGGATCTGGATACCCATGTTGGCTCCCACATGTTCCACGATGATCTCATCAAATGAACCACGATGTCGAGGATACAAGTAATCCCGTATACAATTCCCTTTGTCAATCGGTACATTACTTGCCCGAGATTCGATCGTCGGTATCCTAATACCTCGTTCAATCTCGTTAACGGCAAGTCACTTTACTCATACCGTAATGCATGATCCCGTGACCAACCACTTGGTCACATTGAGCTCATTGTGATGATGCATTACCGAGTGGGCCCAGAGATACCTCTCCGTCATACGGAGTGACAAATTCCAGTCTCGATTCGTGTCAACCTAACAGACACTTTCGGAGATACCTGTAGTATACCTTTATAGCCACCCAGTTACGTTGTGAAGTTTGGTACACCCAAAGCACTCCTATGGTATCCGGGAGTTACACGATCTCATGGTCTAAGGAAATAATACTTGACATTAGAAAAGCTGTAGCAAACGAACTACACGATCTTGTGCTATGCTTAGGATTGGGTCTTGTCCATCACATCATTCTCCCAATGATGTGATCCCGTTATCAATGACACCCAATGTCCATGGTCAGGAAACCGTAACCATCCATTGGTCAACGAGCTAGTCAACTAGAGGCTCACGAGGGACATGTTGTGGTATATGCATTCACACATGTATTACGATTTCCGGATAACAGTTATAACATGAACGATAGACAATTATCATGAACAAGGAAATATAATAATAACCATTTTATTATTGCCTCTAGGGCATATTTCCAACAGTATCTTCATAGCCCAACAATCCGACCCATGTTAATAGTCCGGCCGTCCGAGGACCCCTTAATCCTGGACTCCCTCAGCGGCGTCGGGCGGCGGGATGGAGTGGGCGGGGTGACTCAGGCATCGGCAACAAGCGGAGACTCGATGGTCGGGGGCTGTTGGAGGGATGGCGACGGCTAGGGGCCGGTCGACAGAGGAGCGGCGGTGGGTGGCGGAAATTAGCGGCGTCAGGCGGCGGCCGACGGTGGAGGAACGTCAGAGCCGACAGCGGAGACGGCGGTGGTGCCGGATCTGGGCGACTGAGGCGAGGCGTGTCGGGCGGCTGCGGCGGCGGTGCAACGGGAGGAAGAAGGGAAGGAAGGAAAAAGAAATGACAGTTGGCGCGCGGCTGCGTTTTTACACCTTCGTGGGTGGAGATGCAAATTTGCATGGCAAGATGTTGTATTTTACACCTCCAAAAGGCGAAGATATAATATTTTTCATCAAAGTCATCTGCTAGAGAGGGGTTTTGGGCCTCATAAATATAAAAATTGATTATTTTTGCATCTACACCATCTATTGAAATGCTTTAATCGCGGATGGTTTGGAAATGCCTGTTACTAGTCTATGTTACTATCTCTATAATGCATAGTATCATAGATCCTCATTTATTGCCATGAATGACACATATTAGCATCACATTTATTATGTTACGGTATCTACCTATGTTACTATAAGAGCAAGTACAATAAGGTGATGTAGGCGGGCTGTAAGACATTAAATGTTATATTCTTGCTTACTTGAAAGAGAGAGAATAGGAGAGAGAAGAGAATCGGGCTACTAGTTAACAACCGGCTGCAACACGTGCTCCTAGGTACTTTGTGAGAGAGTGGGGTGGACCATGTATCAACAAAGTAGTATATATTTATATCTAGCTATTGTACTTGTTGGCTATAAGCTTGACTATATGTGACATGACAACATCATATAGCCAACAACTGGCTATATTATTAACCATGCTCTAACCATCTCTCTCTTCTTTAATTGCCTGCCACATAAGCATGCTTGCGAGTCCCAAATGCATGATACTGATTATGTTACCCACTATGGCCAGCCTAAGACTGGTCATAGTGGGAGTAACATAGGTAGTAACATACATGTCACATAAGCAAAAAAGATGATGTGTTAAATAATTAATGAAGAGAAACGCAAATAGAGTAACATAATATGTTATCATCACATAACGGTTCCCAATGCAAAATGAGTCTACAAAATAATAAATAAGGTGATGCATGACACTGTACATATGTTACTACCCACTATAAAGGTAGTAAAGTTACTCCGCACTATTACTAGTCTAAGGGAAGGGGAGGCCGCAGCAGCAGTAAACACTCCCACCAACAAGTGGTGCCGGATTTTTGTCAGTCTCCTCTCTTCCTCACGCTGCCTATACCCAACATTACAATACAGGCACAGCCTCCTCTCGTCTCTTCGCCTCGCTTGTAGCACCAGCAGTTTCATTTTCGCACCCTCCTGTACCTCCGCCCCCTCCTGAATTCCGACCTGAATCCAGCTCCCCCCACGCCGTCGGCGTCGCCTTCTTCAGGTACTGCTCGGGAATCGGAGCCATGTTTTCCCGCGGCTTTGACCGCGTTATTTCCCCCCAAATTTGAACTTTCTTGC